GCTGAATTTTGGACAGACTGCAAAGTTTCTGCCTCACGGGGATAATTTATAGTCTAACTGCAAGACAAGCGTGCTTTGCCCCAGCACGGGTCAGCGCTCCAGCAGCAGCATAAAGGGATGAAACGGCATTGATAGCCTTCACTTTGAGCACTGACTTTAAAGGGATGGTGTCAACATGCTTCCTTTAGCTTCTAAAATAATGTTGCCTTCACAATTCTTCCCAGTTATTGCTACAGCCTTGGGGCAGCAAACTATAATAACCTTGAAACCCTCAAGCTCCACAGCCTCTCTCTAGGAATAACCTGGCGTGCCTTCGACTCCAGGCCGTGTCAGTCCCTTGAGCTTTTTGCTTCTCAGGAATGAGACATCCCGTTTCTTGCTCTATTCACCCCACCCCTTCCAGACCCACTATTTCTGGTTGTGGAAGATCCCTTGCGCTGAAGGTGCTTCTCTGCCCTGGTTTTTCTCACACACCCTGCCGTGCAAAAGGCTGTTTTGAACAAAATCTTCGGCCAGTGCTGGAAACTGCTCTGCGTAACAAGAAAATCCCAGCACTTGTATGCGATAGTGCCGTTCCCACTGCACTGGCTGATCCCAGCTGAGTTACAGACCAAACAAGGACAGCCGAAAGACGGGCTCGTAAAATCCCCAAGAGTAGGTGCAAGGCTCCCCAGCATCCCAAACGTCCCGTTCAGCATCTTTAGGGAGGCCCTGGGCCAGGAGACAGAGGACACCATGGAGGAGATGGATGGCCATCACCTGGGTGGACAACACTGCCCTACGGGGTGCAGCTGATAAATTCAAGGGCAGGGCTTCTGCCTGGGGGGACCCAGAGAGGACACACGCCGTGTCCTGCACCTGGGGTGGACTAAATCCCTGCAAGGTACCAGTGGGGACTTGCTCTTCCCATGACAACACTGTCTTTACCCCAAAATCTTGTGATTGTTCAGAGAGAAAGGAAAGGTGCAAAATTCTCCTTGCTCCCATTGTGAAAATCTTTTGGCTTGCAAGGAGTTAATATTCAGCTCTGTGAGGGATGGTCAGGGCACTTTTCATCCCGATGCTGTGTACAGCACAGCTCAGGACCTCTCCAGTTTAATCCCAGAAGTCAACACAAAGCACCACAAAAATAAACAGTCTCTGGGATGCCATACTTCTTTTGCTTAAAGTAAGCAAACCAAAAGCTTTCAGATGCCTCACCCTTCTCCTACTTAGTTTCAGAGTCAGGGCTTTTACTGCAGACTCTTGCATTTCGCCAGATCTTCTGTTTCTTGGAGATGCATCTCCTGAGATTGATGGTTGTCTTTCAGGACACGTCACCGAGATACACTGCAAATATCTCCATTACTTTTCACCACTAAAAGCCTTATGTCAAGTGATATCAACCTGCACCCAAACCGTCCATGTCATTGCAGACCCGAAACAGCACCTCAGGTTCACAGGAGGCAGCAAGGGCCCGAGCAGCCCTGAGTGCACGACTGTCCTGCTACCACCACGAGACTAGGGGGGTCCTCCTCGTCTTCCCCCCTCTCTGCTCTCCTCTAACCCTCACACCTACGTGAGAGCAGCACAAGCTAGAAATCCTGGCAGGGATGCCAAGGAGGGAGAGCAGGGGTTTGGGGCAGCCGTGGCTCCCTCTCTCCCCCTGCTGCTGCGCAGGACCCCTCCAGGTTTCCCTTTTCCCCCTCCCCTCGTCCCAGTTTCCCCGCCAGTCTGTTGCACTCAGCTCCAGAGGTTTGCAGAGCAGCTTTCCCATCTGACTGCTGAAACAGCAAGAAGGGGGCCCCTTCCCCAGCGAAACAGATGTGGCTCGCCTTTGTGCAACATCTGCGCCTCGCGTCCCCGTTCATTTTGAACAGTCTTGCCTTTGTTCGTGAGGGGTTGCGCAGGGGATGCTTTGGAGGAGGGCAGCAGCCTGCAGCAGCCTGGACTCCTTCCCTTCAAGTCCCACACACACACTGCCCCGAAACGCCCGGAGTTCTTCTGGTGAAAAACAATGCGCTTTGTTCCCCACGGCGTGTGAGACTCGACAGTCCCGCTCCTCCGCGCTTCCGTTCCAGCTGCACCCAGCGGCTCACCCTGACAATTCCTCTGGGATTCCCAACCCCCGGGGAAGTAAGAGCCGGAACACGGGAGCGACCATGGATCCCCTTCCTCGCAGCCCCCCCTCGCCCCGGTAGCCGCTCTCGCTGCACCTCTGCGCCGCTCGCCAGCTTTGGCTTGGCGGCCCCCGCGGGGCTGCACGGCTTTGGCTCCTCTACGTGCAACAGCAGCAGAGAGTGCTAGAAAGCCACATCTTTTCTGCAATGTGTTCCGAGCTGCATTTAACACGGGGAGGAATACATTAAAATAAAAGCAAATTTTATTTCCTCTCGCTCTTGATGAGCTTACCAATCCTGTTGATGACTGCCTGAAAAGCTGCTAAAACTCTCATGCATTTTGGCACTCGGTCCTGTTTCATTTATTTTACTGGAGGTCACTTTTTTTTCTATATTTTGGGGATTTTGATCCACTTATTTTCAGCTTTGGTTTCTAGCCGGTGGACCAGAGGAACAGGAGCTCTTGCTCAGTGCCCTGCAGGGGTTTGCAAAACCCGCTCCAGGGTGCTGGCGAGGGGCAGCTCTGGATTCCCTTGTCAGCGTTTCAGCAGAGGTTGCCCAAGTCATCCGGTTGGGTTTCCCTGAGCTGGCTGTCAGGTTTTGGCCTTCCTGGAGAGCAGGAAAGCGCATTCGTGGGATTCCAAAGGGGAGGGAGGAGGAGGACAGCGGGGCCTTTCAGCCCTGCGGGCTGTCTTCAAAACAGAATTGTTCATACAAGCCCTGGCCTCAGCTGCAGAAAGGTAACCCCGTTTTCCTCCATTTAAGCCGTTGCTTCTTAAAGAGAAAAAAATAAAAAGGGGAAGCAAGCTGCTCGCTGCTTGCCTCTGAGTGCTGCCTGTGTCCCGCAGACCCCGGCCTGGGCAAAGTCCTGCCGGCAGCCGCCCTCCAGCTCGCTTCTCCTTCTCCCACCAAACCCCATGGGGGGAGCGAGAGGAGCCAACACGGTACGAGTACCAGTGCAGCCCCGCTCCCAAAACAGGGGCTTTTCCTTCAGGGCAAGGCAAACAGCTGCAGGCGGACTGGAGTTATTGAGTGTTTGAAACAGAAGGGGTAATTAAGGCATTTGGCATCTATGCCAGAGGATTAATAAAGTATAATCAGTCCCTCTATAAAGTATAATCAGTCCCTCTTATTTAGACTGCCTCATACTAGGTGAATGGCAGAGCGGTTGGAAATTGCTCGCTGGCAGGTTTTGAAACCAGAAGAAAGAAGATGTTTCTGTACTGCAGTCACCCCCCCCAGCCCTCGCTGCTCCGGCAGGTTGGGCACGTACAGCGGCCGGATCCGACGAGCAGCCGGCTGCAAGGGCGCGCTCTGTGCTGACAGCAAAGCTCACAGCCGGGGTGGCTCCGGCTTCCTGCGAGTGGTCACCCTCCCGGGTGATTTCGAAAGAAGTCAAAAATCAGCTCGAGTATTCTGCTTAGGGGGTTTGCTGCAAATGAAGGAACAAGACAATCAGCTTAGGGCACAGCCTGGATTTATTCCTCTTGACCGGCACTGCCCTGCCTACAGGTGAGTGGTGCCCAGATCGGACCTGGATTACAGGTGAAATCAAAGCAATCAATACAGGAGCTCACAAAGGGGAAAGGACTGCAGAACCAGACCTACCCTTGCCAAGGCAAAATTTAAATCCTGGCATAAACTGAATACCCCACTCTCGCTGGGGAGACCACACCAGGTACCTGGCACAGGCCACATACTCTTTGAAAGGCTTCATAGTGAAGGCTCGTATGGGAAAGTGTTACTGCAGATGAAAGGCTGGTGTGGAGAGAGCTGCCTTGCTTTTTTATTTGACTGGGAGGAGTTATCTCCAGCCTCAAAATGGGTGACACAAGCCCCAGTCTTGTCTATTTTTCCTGCTGTTGAAGTTCATTAATTAAGAAACTCAAAACAGCCTATGCAAACTGTAGGATGGAAATTATGAAGCATGACATCCGTGTCCCCTGTACACACACACACACACACACACACACGGTGCAAGGCTGGCACAGCCACATTAGTACCCCTGGGTCCGTGGGATGTGCTGGCTCCCAGAGCTGCTCTGAGTCATCACCACACCTTCGAGGACATGAAAACATTTCGGCGACACAGGCGACGCCAAAACCATCCCTGCCCCCCATGAGTTTTGCAAGGGCTGAAGCGGTGGGGCAGAGACGGAGCCCCCCCGCCCCGGTGTGAATCCCCCAGCGTGATCCCCCGGCAGGACAGCGGTGATGGGGAGCGCTGGGGGCCCGGTCCCAGCCCAGGCAGATCTGGAAACCAGTTACCAAGGGACGTCCCAAACTTGAGTGCTAAAAGTAGACAAGGAAAACCATCCTAAATTTTGGAATGTGCTGCGGATGCAGGAGAATCTGCTAATGCCAGGGAAACATGCTATTTCTCGGGGGGGGTGGGGGTGGGTGGATTTTCCCTTGCCAAACTGACCATTTTAGTGATTTTCTGACGAAAGCGCTGTGCTTTGTGAGGATGAAATGGAAAGCACGAAGGGGCTCTTCATGCCCTCCGAGCCTATCTGCACTTCGCTGCCTTTGCCCCATGCTCTTCTCCTGCCTCAAGCGATGAGACCCAGGCTCTTAAAACAAGGTCAGTTTTGCCTCCCTGGCTGACAGCAGTGCCTTTAGCTACAGCAGCCCCGGGCATTGCCTTTATGAGCATCCTCACAATCTGCTTTGTCCACCCCTAGCACTGTTAACGACAGAGTGGGTCCGACAGAGTGGGTCCGTGTGCCTTGCTTGCTTAACCATGCCCTGACCCTCTGAGGGGTCCCACTGGACCTGCACCCAGGATGGAGACAGCCAGGACGTGGCCTCGCACCTCGTCCCGTGGGGTTGGTGCCCCTGAGCAGACCCAGCATCGCTTCCCGCCGCCAGCTCAGCAAGGAAACCCCCCCCCGAATCCTACCATGTCTTGCAGCACCAGGCGACGTGCTCCTCCTCGTGTGCTTCACCAGCCCACGGGTGACAGGGCAGGCGGTCACCTCCTGAGCCGGGCACCCATCGCCTGCAGTGCTTCCACGCAACACTGGGAACCCACACAAAATGCAAAAATAAAAAGAATAGCAATGATAAAAAAAGTCCTCCAGCCACCAACCAGCCCGCCTCCTCTCCCCAAGCCGTTAACCACGGCCGGGGGCTGTCACCCAGGGGTGCCCCCCCAGGCTCCCCGAAATCCCTGCTGCCCGAAGCTGCATTGCTGGGGGCTGCCGGGTCCCTGCCAGGACAGGCTGGTAAGTGCCTCTGTTTCCCTCCCCCCGGGGCGGGAGGACACCCTTCAAACTTCAGCTGCAAATTTTCAAACTCTGCCTCATCCCAGACCCACCTCCCTGTGGGGAGGGGAGCGGAGAGGCTGGGAAGGGGGGGAACAGGCATTTGAAGAGTCTCTTTTTCACAATAAAAGCCCTTCTTGCTGCTTTTTTTTTTTTTTTTTTTTCATTTTCTTTTTTTTAATGCCAAGGACCGATTTGAGCCAGGAGGCACAGGTAAAGGCTGAGGACACACATGCTCTTCCCAAGCCCATCTGCTCCCAGTAACCCCAGTGCCAGACAAGCAGAGGAACAGGCAGAGCCCCAGGGACCACGTCAGCCCCGGAGCTGGGAAAGCAACCCACACATCTGCTCACGGGTGACCCAAAAAATGCCCTTTGCAGGTTTTTATTAACACTGTTTTGCCTTTCAATAACATCCCAGCAAAGAGCTATGCCACATCAGTGCCTGGAGCAGATGCAGCCCTAGGATAAGATTTCTTATTCGCTTAAAAGGCATTAATGTGTTAAAACCATTTTTGGGGTGCTCAGGGGCCTGCTTTTGGGGCACGCAGTGCCCGCACGCAGCCAGGAGAGGGGTGACCCCGGTGGCACTTGGGGAAGGGGACCCTCGCACCCACCAGCACTGCGTGGCAGGTCTGTGGCATGCTGAGCCCCGCAGCGCCCGGCCACTGCAGCCCCCCCAGCCCAGGGGTATAGGGTGCATCCTAAACACCATTTCCTCAGCCCTCTGGGAGAAGAGGGGCTTGGAGACATCGCTTTGGAAAGCAGCGCATTTCACCAGCCCTCCGTGGCCAAGCAGGGCACACAGGCAGTTGTCAGGCTGCAAAGGTTTTGTTTTTTTTTTTTCCTTCATATAACTTTCCTCTTCCAGCTCTGGGCTATGGCCAAGCAAAACCCATCACTCCTGCACCATGCCAGGAGATGCCGTCACCTGCCCCAGCCCCGTCCCAGCTCCAGTCCCCATCAGTCGAGGAAACCCTCTGTCTCAGGCGTGGGGGGGTTCCAGCTCTCCAACCTGTGCAACGACCTCAGCCAGGAAACTGTAAATCAAACAGGGCTGATCAGCATTCTTCTTCACTGATATTTGCATTTTTAAAAGTCCAACAAAGGCACAGTACAAACTATTGTGGGGGACAGTGAAGGCATGATAGTCTAAAAAGAGACAAGGATGAGCCTTAGGGAAAGTTGGCTAAGTAACTTGACCAAGGTAGCACGGGAGAGCAGTGGCAGAGCCCAGGAGGAGGCTTGTGTGTCCGTGCAGTTCTACAGTGACATTTCTTGTGATCAGCATAAGCAAAAACTGCAGCACGATGCTCTGCCCGGCACTGGCTTCTGCTAGTCCCAGCATCCCAGTTCCTTCACATCCCCTGGGTTCATCAAGTGCATTTTATTTTTCATAGAGTACGTCTCTCAACTCCTTTTGCTGCTACTCAAAACTATAGATAAGAAAAGAAGCAGATTGAAGGTTACGTACAAAAGCAGCGAGTCTGATTTTGGCTTCAGCACATGCCCCCCCCCTTCCTCACCACCCTTGGGTGGGAGAAAGGGGTATGGAAACCAAGCCCTGGGCCCCCCAGTTGCTGCCGCCGAGCTCATTGATCCCTCCAGCTGTCCTGGGCACTGCAGCGTTGGACATGTTACATTTCCCTCGAGGTCAGTCCCCTGGGACAGCTACTAACCTAGTATTTCTAATATAATTAGTAATATTAGGCAATTAGCAGCAACCTAGTATGAGCCTCGGTGCAAGGATGGACCGAGGCCCTGGCTGCTGGGCAGGCAGCAGCCGGGTGCCGGAGGAGGGATCTGCAAGGTTCCCAAGGCCAAACCCTGCCCGTCACGACTCGTCGGTGGCATCTCATTTTGGAAGCATTTGCTTTCATCTCCCTTTCTTAATTTTGAAATGATTCAATTTATATGCAATTTTCTGTCAAAATGATTCCTGCCGCTGCAGCGGCGTTGCAAGCCTTGACTGACAGGCCAAGCACTCTGGCTGGTCTCTCTGGATTGCCTCTCCATACAAATAACTGTTTAAAATGCACGCCTGACATTTGAGGAATTTGCCAGCAGAAACAGGCGTGGATGGCTGCTGGGGGAGGCAGACTTAAGGGATCAGTGGCCAAACCAGTATGATAAACCGAGCTTCGAAACAAACGCTCCGATCTTGGCGTTTTGAAATTTCAATTTGATTTCTGCTTCCCTCCTTCCCCCGGAGAAGTTTTTTAATGATGTTCACAGTGCGAAAAACAGATTAAAAATGCAGCAAGACCTGAGAACCAAGTGTGTTATGAACCCGTTTCCTGAGCAGGCCCAGGAGATCCCCCAAATCCGTAGGGCAATGTCTACGTTGTACCCGAGGTGGGTAGTCCCGAGCCCTTCGGCACAGCCCCAGCCCCATCAGTAACATCCCTGCTACTTCATTATGGAAAATCAGTGATTACTTGAATAGTGGAAACTGCTTTTCTCCTCTCCCTTTTTCCTCTTCTATCCCCTGACCGCCTCTGCTCACTTTCTCACAGCCATGCTTACAGCAAAAAACAGAGCTCGTGCGCTCACTCGCACGTGGATTTCCCTGAGGTTTCCCTGATTTCAGCTGAGGCAGGTCCTTTGATCAGACCGATGCTGACTCTGCAGGACGAGGGACAGTCCCCACTCCAAGAAACTCCCGTGTGGCATAGGCAGCAAAGGGAGACAGAGGAGAGCCGGGAGGTGGAACTGCCCCCCAGCTTACAGGCAAAATACAAGCCTCCAAAACAGTCAGGTCTCATATTAGGGTCTCAGGACAGATGATCTACAATTTTCAATATCAAAGATCTCCTGAGCCCACTCCCTTTCACCTTGCACTTAGGCAAGAGGAAAATCTGTTTAGTCCCAGTTGCAAGGCACGGGGCAGCAGCAAGGGGGGCTCCCCTGAAGTTCATGCTAGACCATACAGACATTTTCTCAATTTACTGGTATCACTGGGTAGATCCAGCTTAGCCATGAGCAAGTACTTTGAAGTAGAAAAGCTGAGACCTTTCCCTGAGGGAAAAACAGTTCCCTTTTTCCAAGGAAACCGATGGAGAGCAAAGGCGTCCATGGGCAGCACAGGGACCTCTGCGCTTCCCCAGATGCCACCACTGTAGACATTAGCAAAAGCTTCTGATACAACCCTGCCTCAATTTCATCGACTAACCCGCCTTTCCCCTTGCTTGTCCTCACAGAGAAATATCTTTTACGAAAGGATGGAAATAGGCTGATTTTTTTTTTTCCCTCTAAATATTTTTTTTTTTCTCTTTCCATCCCAGTAGACCTGTATTCATTTCTCCCTCAGGAGCTGAAGACAGGCAGTGGAGAGGGGACAGATTTCAAGAGCTGACAAGGAACAAATGTCATTCCATCTCTAAGAAAGTAAAGTTAAAAGGTTTTTTTTCTCCCTGTTAGAAAAGTGTGAAGCTTTAATGGGTTTGAGGGTCTATGAATATGACTTTCCACACATGCCAAGTTAATTATAAGCTTGAATGGATTTCTGAGACCCAAACCCTACCCAGATAAATCACCATATCAACCGCTGATTACAAATGGGCTGCCCAGAAAGCCATCAAATTTCTCTTCTTTTCCCCACTATCTCTTATATCCGTTGGTAATGGGCCTCCATGCTTTACTAAGGAACAGGCTATGGGAAATTAAGGCTATCAAGCAAAATGGGGACAGGGCTGGGCTTCTGCTCAGTGCTGTAGCTCTTGGTCTGGTGCTGGCACCCAGAAGATGCTGAGAAGCAGATGAGCTGCAAAACCAAGTTTTGCATCTGTTTTTGGAGCATGACGCATTTCCGTGAGCCGCTTCCCCAGCCACTGTCCTGAAGGGGACAAGCCCCAGGTCCCTAAGGCAGAGAAAATGCTGGACGTGGGTGCTTCCTTTCAACACATTGTGTGTGGGAACAGACTTTTCTCTCCTGGGTTTTGTTCATTGTTCACATGGAAATAAGCTCACCTAGGTCACTTACAGAACGTACTGAATTTTCATAAATACACGGAAGAAGTTGCACACCCGCCCCCGTCCAATAATTAGAGTAAATTAATGCTGCCAGGATGCTTTCGTCACCATTTGTCTGACTCGAGACAAAAAGCAGGGGGTCACATCCTGAAGGGAGATAAATCCTTTATAAGCAGTATTTAAGATGCCAGAGAAAAGAGTAACATCTGCAGAGGAATCACACATTCCCCGAGCACGTGGGCTTTATGCCTCCCACCAATACCTATTGTGTCCTCCTTGTTATCATGACTCAAACACGAGTATATGGAGGAAGGGACAAAGGGTTATTAAGTCCTTCAGGGGTGATTACTCATTCCTCCAGCTTACATCTTAGATAAATGTTAGAAACTCTGGATTGCTTGTCAGAGTGGAGCATTGTTTTTGCAGGACATCAACTATGATGATTCAAATGAGTTAGGGTCATCTTTTAATTTTTTAATTTCTCAGGGATATTTTTAAAGCTCTCCCATCTTCAGCCAGAAATAGTACTTACCACCCATGTCCCGTGTCCAAGAGATTTACAGGGTTATTTCCTAGCCTGCTTCCCTGAGAAAGGGGAGCTTTTATGATCGCCCCGCACCACCGAGGGTCTGTTGGCCTCCATCCTCCACCAGCTTTTGGAAACAACTGAGCTTCAGTCTCGAGTGGGAGCAGACGGTCACTGAGAGCCTGCCCGTGTCATGACAACCCGAGCCCATGGGAGAGGGTGATCCCCCCTGGGGCGGCACGACATGGGTGCTGTGTAGGACACCCATCCCTCTGGGTTCCCTCGCTCCCACCAGCTGCGATAGCATCTTGAATTTGGACACTGAGTTTCTACCTGTATCTCATCCCAGGTAACTCTGTCCTCTTCAGTGTCCATCCTTCCTGAGGCAGAGTGCCCCACTCTCTCAATAAAAGCTTTATTTTTTCTTCCACTCTTTCTCCCTTCTAGATACAAACCACATCACTCAGATGAATCAGAAACACCATTTTCTTGGATCATGACCATGTAAATCA